ACACACACACACACACACACACACACACACACACACACACACACACTCACTCACATACTTTTCTTAGTAACTATCAGTAGAGCCTGAGACCCAGCACATTGTATAGCATAGTCCAGTAGAAGCTGATGCCTAGCAGTGTGGCTGTGTCTTCTGCAGAAGGATGTCCAGCAATGGAATGTGCATGACCTACCAGGGGGAGAAGTTCCCAGCATGGTCTGATGGCTGTCGATTAATGTGGGGTATGAGGTCAAACTGGAACTGACACCTAGAAGTGGATGTGTGGTCACAGGGGTGGTGGTGTATCCAGTGTGTGTGATAACACTGTATGTCAGAGAGGGCAGTGGAATTACAGGGTGTAAGCTCTGCACAGTCCCTGTGTTGTATGTGTTAGCTTGTAACTGAGCTGGTGTCTGACAAGGTCTGATCATTCATTTTGAAGTGGATTGGCAGTGTGCTATGTGATGTCCAAGTGTGCTTGACACTTGAGTGTGTGTGAGGCTGTTAGGGTGTCAGAAGAGTCTGATACCTAGCAGTGCATGTGGGGCAGCTGCAGGGTGATGTGTGCATTCCAGGTCCCTCGGCTAGCCTCTTAAGTGTTGCCATGGAGTGTTGCAAGGCCCAGCAGGTCTGATATCAAACAGGAATATATGAGTTGATGGACTGTATTGTCCAGGGTCCTGATATTAATATTGTACATTGTTGTGGTGGGGTGTGACATTCAAGAGGGCCTGAACTCTAGCAGAGTATGTCGAATTTCAGTGATATTAGGGTGGCAAGTAGGGTCCAATAGTAAGAAAGTATTTGGGTACAGGGGCAAGAGAGTGTTCTGTATGGCCTCATAAATAGCTGTTAATAAAGGATTATGTGAATGACATTTGGGATCCAGACCTAGGAATACATGTGAGGTGTGTGAGTGTTTGTTCAGGATGGTCTGATACCTAGCAGTCAATGTGCGATTTGGTTGGAGACATGCATGGCCCATACTTAGAGGTAAGTGTATTAGAGGCTCTGTGTGTGTGTGTGTGTGTGTGTGTGTGTGTGTGTGTGTGTGTGTGTGTATGTGTGTGATGTAGGGGATGTTTATCTGGTCTGACAGCTGCTAGTTCAAGTGAGGTGGCATGGCTGTAGTGTCACACGCTGCATTATACCTAGTGTTTTATGTCAGTGCAGGAAGATTCCAGGAGTGTTTGAACCAATCAGTAACTGTGTGTCCTTGTCAGGAGGTCAAGTGGCCAACAGGGCCTGATACCTTTCCCCAGGTCTTAGTACACTGTGGTTGGAGGCATGTCTAGTATGGTCTAGAATCTAGCATTGTATATGAGACAGCAGAAGGGAGTTGAATATCTAGTCCTAATACCTAGAGAACTATGTGGTGAGTGTGGGTGAGGGGTGTCATTCATGTCCTTACACTGACACTGTATGTAAGTTGTTAACAAGGGGAGGGGCATGGGTAGCACATGTGAGTATCTAGGTGTCAGACCTGCTGCTTTCCCCAGCTGACTGGACCATCCATACAGTGCTGTTAACAGATCCACTAGACAGCTCACCTCCATCCCACACAATGGGATAGGTTTCAGTACTCCTCACCCCACACAGCACACACTACACGTCCACCTCCTCATATACACAGTGTTAACCGTCAGTATTTGTTGTCTGCCAGGGTGTGTCAGGGGCCAGGCTCTCTCTAGATGTCCTGAGGGAGCGTCCTGCTCCAGGCATGCTCCAGTCTGTGTATTTTCTTGGCTGGTGGCAGCAGGGCTCCCAAGTCCGCAGTTCATCTCTTTGTTATTCTCTTTCCTCCTTCCTATAAGGCAGGAACTTATGTAGTCCTCTTCTATAACTTTATGTGAAATTTATAGTGTCTGTATTTGGGATCAATTGAAATGGTGACTGTGTTCAGTTTTTCAATGGGTTCCTTATTGTTTGTTTTTAAATTTTATTCTGCAGTCATTTGTGGATAAGTCCTTCTCTCTGCCTTGATTTCCCTGGGTGATGATGAGAAAATAGGCTGACAGGATTTTGATGGGTCTGTTTCTGAGCGTTCTGTTCCATGTGTCCAGTCTCCTTTACAATACTGTAACCCTTTATGGTTCTTTGAGGCTTGGCTGTAAGTCCTGAAAGAGGAATATTGGGGTCTGGAGGAATCTGTCCTGTCCTTTGCCATGTCTTCTAGGTTTAGGTCCTATTGTTTGTTCCATCTTGTGTTTGAGCAACAGACTGGATTTTGCTGAGTGTACAGATGAAGTGCAAACATCTGTCACCTTTAGAATAACAACTGGTAGAACCTGAGAACTCATAGATTTGGATTTCTCTTTTCCTGGGGTCAAATAATCTGAATGTCAATTTATAGAAATTATGTTGGAATTCTAATTAAGTACTTCAGTATTTGTTTGTAAATTGCCTCTGTCTAATACCAGTGAAAGATTGGCAGAGGGTATGACCTTAAGTTCTCCTTCTTCATGTTAGTGGAGGCCTGGCACAGGTGGTCCATGGATACTGCCCTTCTCAGGTATCCACTCTAGAGTTCAGAAAGAGAAGTACATTTAAATCCCAAGGCTCCTCTGAGATATTTGTTTACCTGCTCAAGCAGGTTTTCTGGGTTATCTGTGAGGACAGAGAGGCATATGTGAATTTCTGAACTGTAAATTCTCAAAGGGTTCTAAATTCGCCAGCGATTCAACAGTAAGTATCCACCTGGAGGCTTTAACAAAGGGATGCTCCTGTAGATTCCACAGATCTTCTTGATAATTTGGGTGGTTGTCCATAGTTGGATGTTGGCAGAAAAACCATGTCATTGTTCTCCACAGCATGTCCTCCTGTTGCTGTGTGCAGCCTCTAAGTTCCTCTAGAGCTCAGACAATGCCATGCTAGTCTGCTAGAAAGGGGAGGTGAGACGTACTCTTTTTCCTCCATGTCACTGATGTTAAGTGTGCACATACTCAGGTCAGGATTCTCAGGGTTGAAGATAAGGGATATGGCCAAGCACCTATAAGAAGACATTTTTGTTAGACCAAAGAATAGTCTAGCAAAATCCCTAGACCTGTGGCCTTTCAGAAAATAGCTGGTTGATTTCTGGTGGAGTTCAGGATGTAATGAGGCAGCAGTAATTTCCCTTTTTCCTATATGAACTTCCTGAGGGAGAACTCAGTCGATTCTCCGGGGAAAGCCCTGATTGAAGTTAGTGGTTTGTGCTAGCTGCTCTGCTACTGTCCCATAAACAGGCTCTAGGATCAAGAAGGAAACGCAGTTTCACCAACATGTCTGTGTCTAGACGCTGTGCTTCCTGCACCCAGCCCACTGAACACTTGCCTGGATGAGACAGGATGCACATACGGTGAAGATGAGCTTTGTCTCAGAACATATCCACAAGAACCTGCAGATCTGAGGAAAGAAAGGATGTCAATGAGAGTTCTGGAGTTGACCTCTGAGACTACAAGGACACAAGGTGTTACCACACTAGTCATCTTGTCAGTGTCCATGACCTGAGAGGAATGTAAACATTCTCAACCAGTCAGGCTCTGTCCAAAAGAGCAACTTACCCAGCATCACTAAGACTCACTTTTCTCCACTGGGAGGAGAGTATTACTGAGGAACTTTGGGGCATTGTGTGGAAAGATATTGGTACAAATAGCATGCATTGTGTGCACCTATTCCTGATGTCTCCAGGAGGCAGGCAGTGGGGCAAGGAGAGTGTTAAGTGTTTGAGCCTGATCATAAGCTGACTTATCTCACATAACCAAAAAAAAGTCACCATTTTCTCCCTGCAGTGGCCACTGATATAAAAAGTCCACATTAAACTCGTCTTGCAAAGCTACACAGGGAAACTTTGTCTTGAAAAACAGTTATAAAAAGTAAAAAAAATAAAATAAAATAAATTAACTCACCTTGGCTCTTGGGCATCAGCTCTGCTTCCTGAGAGTCATATTCTTAGAGACCATCATCACCAGGGCTTGGAGTCTTGGTCCACATGGGCTGTCTCCTGAGAGATTCAATGCCTGGCACAGTAGCCAATCGAATCAGGGTGAAGCTTGCCTTAGTGGTCATTCATTGACAAACAGACCACCCATGGGCTGAGGAGCAAACAGGTCATTGTCTCTTAGTTATTTTCCCAAGCTAGGTTGTATGAATCCCCATGCTCCAGGCTCTGGCACCCAACACAAACTAAGTTACTGAAGATGTGCACCATCTTTGATTCATACATTTCCTCCTCATTTTGTTAGGATCAGAGAGAGGAGATTGCCACAATACCAAGTTATCTCAATATCCCTCTGTACCCATGACTCAGCTATTATTTTCTCTCTTTCTTTGGTCCTCTGTAAGACAAGCTCAATGACAATCTACCCTTGGGATTGAGGCAGGCCTTCCTGGGCAGCCTTATTCTTCTTAACCTCTAAGCCAGAGTCAAGTTTAGACCAGAAACCAAAAACTAAACATCTACTATACGCTGTTATATGGTGGTCTCAGTGATGCTTTCAGCCATGTTATGCACACAGATGAGCCTTATTGCTCATCCCCATCAGAGTGGCATCCTACTCTGTATGGGGAGTCTGTCTGCCTATCAGGTGCACCTGACAACACTTTAGACAATTATCCCAGCAGGACAAGTAAGCAGACAGCCTAGCTGGAAGCCATAGTTGTATGGTCAATAAGGCTGCCTAGGTTTGACCACTGTACCAAGTGGGACCTGTGTACAAAGTAGTTTTAAGAGTGCTGACCCCACCTCTGACCACTGTGCCCTAGGCTAGGTAAGGCCTACTCACATCCAAAGTTGAGCAAAGTCCCAGCATTCCATCTGATGTGGTCCCCATTTTTCTCCAGCTTGCTGTCACTTTCCTGTTAGGAGACAAATATGGTTCTGATGAAACTCCCTATAGTGAGGCCCCTTCACAAACACATAAACTAGACCAGAATGCAGTGGAACTGTGTCTTGTCTGATGGGCAGGACACAGGGATAAATGAAGGCTGCAAATACAACAGCAGGGAAGGAGGGAGAGGAAAAAGCTCCCGTTCCTTCATGTGGGGAAACATTTCACTAGGATCAGACACCTGAAGATTGCACAGATTAATGAGTACTGCTAGTTATTCCTCTGCAGACTGATCCTCAGGGTCTGCACAGTCATGGGTAGCTTGTACCTGGAATTGTCTCATTTTCCCCTTAGAGAAGGATGCTGTGAAACACCAGCCCTGGATCATATTGTCTTGATAACTAAGGTTTCCTGGAGAGAATCCTGTAGTAGATGCCTTACCTTGTCCTGTGCTGGACACAGACCCTTCATGCTGGGGAAGTGGGCACACTGCCATCTGGACTTCCTGCAGAGCTCCTACTTCTGCTGTCACAGACCACACCTCAAATCGCCACCCTGTGTCTCCTGGTGTAAGGAGCTCATCACTTTAAAGAAGACAGACATGTGAAAGGGACTCTAAGGGAGCTTGAAATATGCAGCAGTTAAGCTAGACCTACTGTGCATTCCTCTCCTCATGGCTCCTCCCTCGATCTCTTCCATCCTCTCCAAATCCCTCCCTTAGTCAATTCTTCCTGTTGCCTCTGCCATCTCTGGTTCTCATTGTCTGCTCTCCATCTCCAAATCAACCTTGTCACTTTATTTAGAAGCGGGTTTGTACCTTGGCACTGGTGCTTTTGAAATCCGGGTTTTAAATTTGCATGCCCATACAGTGAAACAAGTTAATGTGCCAATTGCAAAGGACAGATGACAGTATCAAGTACAAAATTAATGTAGTAGAAACACAAGGCCTGGAGCAGACCAGTACCTCTGCAATGAGCACTAACAAGATACATGGACACAGAGGTTCAAAGTGTGACTCACTCTGTCACACTCTATCACTGCAGCTTCCATGAGGAAATCTTT